ACCTTGATAAACCAAGTATGTTTATGTCTTTCATTGTTATAATAAAGGACTTTGCTGAAAGCGTTAATATAATCCCAATATGTGAAATTGGTAGGGATTTTATTGAGGCTGATCTGCCTTTCTTTCATCGAGGATATACCCCAATCTTCAATTGATATAATTTGCTTTATGATCATTTTGGAGAAGTTATAAAGGTTCTCGCTGGAGTTCTAACCTGAGAAGTGCTGAAATTCAACACTACATGTATACGTTAAAATGGTCTCGTAATACGCATGGGTTTTGTATGACTCTCCTGGGAAGTATAATCCGTTAAGTAAATATCGTTGGAATATCTTCCAGGGTTCTTCTTTTCTCTGTATCTCATAGTTTTCAATAAGAAATATCATTTCTTTCTTTACTACCCTTTCATAGGATCTAATATCATCAACCTCTTCTTTCGCCACCAATGCAAAAGTATCACTTTGCTTTTGAGATAAATATGCTTTCAGTTGGGCGTATAATGGATTATTTTCTGAAATATCATCCAGATGTATCGAAGAAGTAGCTTCTTTTGAAGAGCTTGTTAGTTTTACCAAGCTCATTCCTCCCCTTTGTATAATTGGAGAGCTGGATGAGGATCCGTATGACGATCCTGATGTTTTTTTAGGAGGATGATCTTCCCCTTCCGCAAGTATAACTGCCTCGTCCTCTAGCCTTGGTTACCCAAGGAGGATCCATCCTGCAAACATAGCATTTAGTTTTAATCATCTAAAAGGTCTTAAACTTCAGAACAATAAAATCTTTCATATCACTCTTGTTCACGATATCCATTACCATTCCTTCTATAATTCTCCATAAAATACGTTCCTGTATATCTCTATTAAGAGGAACTGCCTTCAAAATTGTAACCAAAGTAATATCAGTAAAGAAGTCAAGAAAACCCATTTTTTAAGAAGAAAGATATTCTCTAGATAAGAAGTCTGGGAGGGAATTATCACTTCCCTTTTTATAATGAATTTCGAAATCAAAAGGGGATAATTGTGCTTACCACCTAGCAAATATTAATTTGGATGCATCATGTTTAAAATCTTTATCACACATATATTTGACTGATTGATCATCTGTTTTCATCACAAATTTCTGATTGTAAAGATCATTCTGAAATTTTAAAACACATTTAACGATAGTTAACATTTCATGAGCTACCATTGCATATTTTTTCTGAGCATCGCTTCATTTTCCTGAATGAAACCGAATAAGGTATTCATTTTTATCATGCGGGTTAATCTGTTTTAATATTCCACCATAACCCATATTGGACGCATCTGTCTCAACGATCTTTGGCCAAGCAGAATTAGCAAGGGTTAAACAAGGCAAATATTTAACTCTTTCTTTAACAGTCTTTACAAGATCTGTGAGACTATTAGTCCAAGGCTTCTTATGATCTTTTTTTAGCCTGTCGTATAACAGAGCTAAATCTCGAGACAATTTTTTGTAGAAGGGGGAAATGTAATTTAAACTTCCCAGAAACCCTGCAATTGCGTCCTATCTGTAATAATATTAGGGAATTTTGATGCGAATTCAATAGATCGTTGAATAGGAGTCATTTTTCCTTGACAAATCAAATGACCCAAAAATCTAACTTCTGTTTGAAAAAGACTCATTTTAGGTTCAGATATGACCAAACCATATAACTATTTTCTTAAAAATGTCTAGAATCTTAATATGCATTTCAAGAGTCTTTGAGTATACCAAAATATTATCAATATAAACTATGATGAAATCCAAATAAGGATTAAAAATATCATTCATAATCTTTTGAAATTTCGAGGGAGCATTTTTTAAACCAAAGGGCATTACAGTCCATTCATATTGTCCAAACGGAACATTAAATGTCGTTCTATAAGTATGGTCTTTAAATATTTGGATTTGCCAATATCTAGATTTTAAATCAAATTTTGAAAATATATTAGCATCATATAGTCTTGATAATAAATCCCTTTTGTTTGGAATAGGATACCTAATCCATTTTAAAAATTTATTTAAAGGTTTATAATTAATTACTAACCTGGGAACACCTCGTTTTTTTTCTGCTGCGTTATTAACATAAAATGCAGTACAAGACCAGGGTGACTTGGAAGGTTTTATTTAACCATTTTGCAATAAATTATCAATTTCCTTTTTTGCAGAATTTGACCAATTCGGTATTCATCTGGCAAGGACGAGATTTGGTAGGAATATTTTCCTCAGAGAAATTATCTTCATATGGAAGAGTTACAATATGCTTTTTCCGATTCCAAAAAGCACTAGGATGATCAGCACAAATATCAATGGCCATTTGTTCAGAAATGAGTTTAATATTTTCCTGTATTTTAGTAGATTTCAAAGTATATATTCATACTACATATCTTAAGTTGTAAATAATCGACATGCTTTTGTTTCATTTCAATTAAAGCATTAATATCTCGAGAAATAGGTTCAGTGATAAAATTATAACTAATATCTTGATTTTTGTAAGTAGCAGAAAATCCTTTAGCGTTTCAATTAGTAAAAGGATAAATTGCATTTATAAATGGAGTTCCAAGAATAATGGGAGGATATAACTTTTTTTTTACCAAGAAAAAGAAGTGGGGAATACAAATTTTATTCTGGGAAATACGAGTATTAGATAATTTATACTTTATATCTAAAGCATGACCAGATGCAGATTTAACCATATGAGTTGTTTTTGCAAAATATTTAGTAGGTACTAAACCTTCTTGAATGCAACTCACATCAGCGCCACTATCGCCACTATCGATCATAGCAATGTTAGTTATAGAAAAAGTATTATCAATTAATATAGTACATTTAACATACCATTTATGAGCTGTAACAATTTGCATCATTTCTAAAAACATATTTTGTTTCGGACCAATATTCAAAGTGTTGGCAAGAGTATTTTCTTCAGCAGTAGATTCATCAATCTTATTTTTTCCTTTGCTATTAGCAGACTCAAGCTGAGTAAGACGGTGATCATAAATATTATGATTTTGTTTAAGAAATTTAATTTCTTCCTTCAAATGTTCAATTTCTCCTTTTAAATCATCAAAAGAGGTATCACGAATAATCATTTTTTAAAATATATTATGTCTGTTTTGTATGAAATTGACACATGATATTATAAGTATATTAAAATGCGTGATAAATATATTATCCATCAATAAAACTTGCATGATATGTGTTCTATAAATTATTCTCTGCAATATGTATTAAAACTGTATTATAAATGTACTAAAAGTGATCAAGTGAAAAAAAAATGTTATTGCTATGAAATATAAATATTTTTTTTAATATAGTATATTTACGTAAGTTTAAATTAGTGGACAAACTGAGTTTTCAGCCCTCTTATTATTAGTCAATAATTGTGTACAATAATAAAAAATATTATCTTCTTTCGAAAAAAAAGAAATTGAATTGCTCAAGGTTTTGATTACTGTAATTGGTTGTAACTACCAATGTAACTTCCTTCGATTAAGAAAGCTTCAATAGAATAATGAAATTTGTATCATTGGGTGCTTTATTTTCTCTTAATTAATAGTCATAACTCATATACTTCTTCCGCTCCGTTTTTATGTGTCCACTAAAAGTATATTTTTTATTTTTAATCGTCATTTTTAATATATATTTTTTTCATATTTCACCCGTAAGACTAATTACTTATTTTTTTTAATTATTTATCAAGTTTTAAGACAAAAAAATTGACTAATATTTATCATGATAAAATATTCATATAAATATATTAGTATTATTTTTAAGGAGCGTACAAAATTCAGTAAAAATGAATGAAGGGAGTAATTTTGGTACATCTTTAGAAATCACATCTTATTTTGACTTTCTCCTTTCTTTTCACATTACAAAAAGTGAAACATTCAAGTCCTACTAGTATTAATTTGTGTCAAAAAGTTCAAAAAAGCTCCAACCGACTATGAAAATGATGGTACTATACACTTAACAACAAAATTGGCGGAACATTTAATTTGGTGGGGATTGTTGTACAGATTTCTTTCATATTTAATCAGACGTCTTATGATTGAGTTTTTATAAATAGAAAATTATCAAAAGTTGACTTATTCAAAATGTTTCCAACCAATTTTTCGTTGGAAATATCGATTTTCAATCGAAATATTTATTAAAAATTTATGTATCTTACGATCAAACTTAAGTTAATTTAGTAAATAAATATCGAATATCAGATGAAAACGAGTGATTGTGTGGATGACAATATTCATGATTCATCTTAAACATGATGGCTATTTGTAGGGACACAATTAGAAGCCTAATTAAACAAAGCAAGTTGCCAGCCAAAGTTTGCCGTCTACACAACATGCATTTGGGCCTAAAGATTTTGACGTATTTTGGAAATTAGTACATAATGTGCTATCACCACTTGTTTATCATTGTCGTCTTGTTATCGAGTAAAAACTCTATAAAAAAAGTTTAAAGTTAAATTATTTTTAAATATAAGAAAATTATTATTTTTTGATTAAATAGTCAGATGAAAAATACTTCAAATCATAATATGGCCATGGTGACGAAAAAACACAATAAGGGTTAAATTATGTTTTTGTATAATCAATGGAGCATTGTTCATCGAGATAAATGATTGGTCTTATCTTTTTGTTCATTTTTAATTAGCTCCACTCCTTTTCTAGGTGATATATAACACGAGATCGATGAACAATTTTTCAGATTATTAAATTTCAACTTAGAACTTATTCTACTCATACAATTAGTAGAATTAATAAAAACCCATCAAGAAATTCATAAAGTAAAAAAATTCTACATAATTAAAAAAAATCGATAAAATTCCATAATAAAAGCAAGTTTATAACAAAAACTCAATAATATTTAAAAATGAAGAAGGTAAGGTTAATCCCTTTTGAATTACTCTTTCACAAAATTTCGATATTTCTGCAACAAGAAACGAAAATAAAATCGAACTAAAGTATTTAGTTTCTTTTTTTTTTGTCCTAAAAATTTACAAATAAAAATTAAAATGCACACAACACATTCTAAAGTCAGAATGGTGGTTCAAATGGAAGAGCCCCATGTATTATATCTAAATTTTCTTGAATTCTTCATATAATTAATTTCTTGATCATAATTTGCGACTAATTAAGCCGCAAACTGTCACTAATGCCATAATTAGCGATTGATCAACTTGGGGTTCCACTTCTAGAGTCAATACATCATCTCCATATGCAAATCCTCTCGACGATTGCTTTTGTTTTAACTGCGATAGAAAAAAATCAATATCAGAATCTTTATACTATCAGTATATATAACTTATATATTTTTTTAAAAACTTTGTATGAATTTAAAATTTTAAAGGACCTACCTCAGCAACAATTTCTCCAGTAGTATTTGTAACTTTAAATGATGATTTCTTGTCCAATTTTTGAATCTTGTAGCAACTTTTAATTGATTTTTCATTGCCCAAATTCACATTACATATCACATTTCCTCTTGAAAATGTGCAATTTTTTCTCACTTGAAACCATGGCCTCCCTTTAAATCCACCACATAAATATCCATTCCATCTACCAAAGACTCTCAATTTCTGCAATAAAACATAAAAAACAAAAAATAAATTTCAACTTCCATAACATAAAATATACTCTTTATGTCCCAATTTATGTGTTACTACTGTTCGAATTTCAAGAGTCAAATAAATTCTATGTTTGAATTCATAGTCAAAGTTAGGGAGTCTGACTCTGGAAATTTGAACTGTGTCACATAACTTGTAACATAATAAAATAATTGTCTTTGTTTTATTACCTCTTTTTTGATGGAGAAGAGAACTTGTCCATTTAGATCCATGAGAAAAACTTCATTGCTACATCTTTCTTGATAATTATCAACTCTAAAACAAAGTTCACCTTTGGAATTAAAAACAGTACATCCATTTCCATGAAAAACTAGTGATTTCATCCATATTGTAAATGTTTCTCTATTAGATGTAACATAAGGAGATGAACAAGAGGAAGAAGAAGGAGAAGATATATTTTCTGGATGAATTTTACCCATAATTAGAGTAAATTAAATTTATAATATACTTTGGAATTTTGAAGAAATGAAATTGTTTGAGAGAAGATTTTGGAATTTGATTTTTGGTGTGATGAGTAATAAAGAAGTTGAAAGGCTATAAATAGAAGTTAAGGAAGCAACCACTAAAAAAAATAGTTGAAGAAATAATCAAGAAAGTAGAAACATTTGACTTTATAAAAACGTGTAATGTTGACGAGGTTTTTTTTAAAAAAAATATTATAACCATTTGATATTTTGGTTTTTACTAATTCGATTAATTCAGATTCGTGTAGGACAAGACTTATTGAAGAGGAAATTATTCTATATCAGAGGTTTCTTCATTATGTGGACTTGAATTCGAGACTTCTAATAAAAGATAGAGAGATCTAATTCATCATTGATGGTAACAGGGGTAGAACTACGTATATATACAAGGATACATGGAGAGTTAATTGATATCGCTTCACTGAAAAAATTACATTATATAGATAGATAGTATGAATATTTCTTTCATGTATATGTTAATTTTTTTTTTGTATGTTTATTTTTTTCATATTTTGACATTTCTCAGTAAAATTGATTGATATTTTCTAAAAGACGAGTAATTGAAGTAATTACACATTCCATATTATTGTAAGAAAACAAGTCAGATTGATAAAGAAATTACTCATTTGAAGATAATTTTATAATATTGTGTCAAAGTCAGTTTAAATAAATAAATATTTATTCAAGATAATTGCAAAATATTATTTCAAAAACATTTAAATAAGACATAGACAAAGAGGTTTTGTCTTTATTTATTCACATCCAGTCTGTCTTTGGGCAAATAAATAAAGTAGAATATGACTCTTCATTGAGTTTATTTTTATTTTTATAATATGTGTCTGTTTGTATACCCTATATATAATATGCTTCTTTTTGGCCATGTGAGGTGACCTTATGGAGAGCCACTAAACCACAAGTCATCACAACATAGATTCATTTTTCTCCTTTATCCTTCTTCACCTAGGAACTAAATATTCTTTTTATAATTTTGTGTCAAAAGATTTTTTTAAAAAAGTTCCAAAAATGTGGCCTATAATAACTCACTTGGCAACATATCGAAATCTTGGAGGCTCACCATTGAAAAATGTAGTGGGATTAAAGTTATCCATTTGTCATAGTCAGATATTTGAAGATCGATTTTTCAAAATGAGAAATTTATATTAGAGAATATTTTTAAAAAAAATAAATAAATCTTATATGTAATGTGAATATAAATTAGTGTTATTTTTTTACGTACTAAACCCTTAAGCCGTGGGTCAACGTGTGAGAGTATCAAATTGATTGACGATATGAGTTATTATCTTTTTATACAATTTGAAAAAATTAAATTTTTGAGTTTAAATTAAATTTACAGTTTATTTTCTTGATACATCAAAAGAGTGAGACTCATCTTTCTTTTTACATTATGTTGGACTTCCATTTATATTATCCACGCCTCAAATATACATGTTATCTTATATGATTTTAGACAATTTTCATATCAGGATCAAACTTATCCTTATTTCTTAATTTACTCCATATTATTGGGCTCCAAGATATATTCTTCATCGTTTCAAATGTCCATTTAATTTCTTAATTACAACATGAAATTTTCTTCTTAGTCATAATTTTAGTGATTTGAATAATCATATGACTTTTTGAGATTATTAATATTTTTAATTCATAAGTCAACTCCTATTTTCTTAGTGACATATTAATCCCAAATCAGTGGGGTTCCACTTACGTTTGTGTAACAACCACTAAATATTTCTTCAAAAATTGAAAAAAAAAATAAACAAAGAGAATTGCATTAACTGTTCAATGTCAAGAGGGACACAATTAAATTAGAGATTTTAATATGCACTTAGGGGTAAATGAAATTAAAAATAAAATGGTGTCAAAAGAAAGGATTATCATTGATTAAATTAATAAGTAGTCGTTGTTAATTGTTTGAGTGCATCGTTTTGCGTGCTTATCCCTTGGATGAGGGATAATTAGGTATCGACACTGACTAACTCTTTATTTTATATTTTATATAAATTTGAGACTGTGAAAAATGTAATTTTAATATAAATATAAATATAAATTTTAAAAATTATAATTCTATAAATACATCAGCCCTTAGATAACAATAAGTTTTATGGCGGAGTGATTATTAGTATTATCTTAATCAGATATTTTGAATTTAAGGCTCGAATAATGTGGACATATCAAGTACCAAGTGAGAAATTTTAAAAAAAACATAAATGATGATTGATTGAGATAAAAATAATAGGAAAAATTCTTTTGGTCAAAAAATTTTGCCAGAATTTGACTGGTAAAATAACATATTTCACACTATTTTATTTTATCTTTTTGAACATTTTTACCCTTTTAATTAAAAAATGAAAAAAAGATCAGTTTATTTTAAAATAAAAAGGATATTATAGACTTTTTAATTTTATGGCCATTTTCGAGCTAATCTTAACAAAAGTGAAAATATATATTTTAAAACAAGTGGATATATTCGTATTAAGCTTTGATTTAAATTAGAATTCACATATTATATCAAATTTTTATTTTTAGACATGTCACTTTTATATATTATTTAATGATTTTTTTTTCATTCTCAAAAATTTGAACTCGAGACTTGTACGCAATAATAGCTATTATCAAAAACGAGTAAACTCACACACAACAAAAAAGTTGATGATGATAGTCCACTTGGAATTTCACACTAACTAGCATCATGAAAAGTTTAAAGCTGGTAAAAATGACAGCCATATTCCTCTTAATTAGTGGAATTAATAAAGTCAGGCACCAACAGTAACATATCCTCGACTTATAGGATGTGACATTTCATAATATTCCATTCGTTTTAATTTATTTATCTGATTTTAATTTTGATATAAAAAATGTTAGAAAAAAGATTTAAAAAAATTTATGATCTTAAATTAAAGATAGTAGAATGATGTACAAAAATCTTCTTTAGTCTCGTAATTAAAATTAAGGAGTTGTAAAAGAAAAGATACAGAGATTTTAAACGGATTAACAAAGAAAGTATGAGACAAATAAATTAAAACGAAGGAAGTAATAAGGAACGGCCAAAAAGGAATATTATCCTTTAGAAGGATTTTTCTAATATTGGACGGCAAACGCCACTATGTACCGACCGCAAATAAAGAAAAGAGAAGTTATTTTGATTAGGAATTATGATGAATTTGACTTTAATTTGATATTATTAGATAACACTGAAACTAGACTAAGGTTAAAAGTCATAATATGTAATAATAATTTAGAAGGCTTGAATCTGTCATAGTTCTCAAACATTAATATTTTTATTTGTTTTAATTTATGTGATATTCTTAATTTTTTAAGAGTCAAATAATTTAAGTTTGATAGAAATTTACGTATCGAATTTTCAATTTTTTTTAAATGAAATTTATATATTTATTAACTACGTAAAAAGTACTACAAGCTGCAACAATTGACAATTCAAAATATTTAAATGATATATGAAAATTTTATAGTAAAAAATAGATTTATTTGAATCTCGAAAACTGAAATGTGTCATATAAATTGGGATTGAGGAAATTTAAACTTCTTGTTATGAAATATTTAGAAAAAAAAATAACAAGGTATTATTTATTAATTTAGAAATTTTCTTGTACGTTATTGTTTACCATCAATGTCTCAACGGATAATCACATAAATATTATCACATGTTTAAGGCCGTAATTTTTTCTTATAACTATACAAATGTTATCAAATATCTATTATCTTGAGATAAAAAAATGCTCCCCTTTTTCTTAGACTACATTTTAAATCAAATTTACATCACATATATTAATTAAAAGCATATATATAGGGGAGTATTATTCTCAAGATTTCATTGTCAAATAATCATGTAAATCCCATAATTATCAGTATATCATAAATTAAATCACATAAAATATATGTTATCTCATTTATCGTAACAAGACAAATAACAGTCAGATGATGGACGTGGCATGTTTTTTGAACTAAAACTTATCACATGTTAACTTTTAAAAAAGTTGATCCAAATCCTTAAAATATGATTGGATAATATATATAGGACAATGAGTAAATTTAAAATTTTAGGATAATTTCTAAAAATAAATAAATTCTAAGTGCGGGTTGATGCATGCACACCAAAAAGTTTGTGTTTGATCGACAAACCCATTATTATTTTTATAAATTTATCACTATGATTAGAACAAATTAAATATCCACTTAGGGTAATGTTTTTTTAAAAAAAAAAATTAATAGTGGTGGTAATGTCTATTGAAGAAATTTAGGTTGTCTTTTTACTAATTCTTGATAACGTAACGTGCATGCTGACATAATTGGTGAACTAACTTTGGAAATCATTTTTAAAAAAAAATGATTTAATGTTCATATATATTTTTTAAAATAAAAATAATTAATTAGTCATTATGTCCTAGTAAGCAAGCATTTACTTGACAACCTGTTAATTACCTAATTGCTGGGACCATCGATCAGCAAATACCATTTTAAACACCACCTTTTCTAGCACTCCGTGTTCGATAACCGTAGAGAATTAAAATCATATTAATTTGGATTTGTGCATAGTATTTTGAAGGTGGTATTTTTAGAATGACGTTTCTAATAAGATTTTATTTATACCTAGAGGCTATAGGGGGATAATTTAATATGGGAATCCAACATCGGTAAACCATCAATTGGAATGAGTCTGACTCTGAAGCCATGAAAAAAATGGATCTTCGACCAAGAGGATTGTCCATGTTCATATAAGGAGACCAAATTTTTCATCTCTAGCCTATGTGAGACACTCAACACGAATCCGAAATTTCTGATTAAGAATAGAACACCACCTTTTTTTGGCACTCAGTATTCGATAACCACATTGAACTCAGATTAATTTGAAGTTGTGCATTGTATTTTGGGGGCGGTATTTCTGGAGGGACGCTCCCAACAAGATTTTTTCATATTTAGAGGGATAATTTAATTTGGGGATCCAACATCGGTAAACAATGAACCATGATAGAAACGAATCTTCGA